CTAAAAATATAAAATAAACTTGCTAAGCAAGTAAAATAATTATTACGAAATTTCTATTATAATCTTTAAATATATTTTTTTCCAGTTTTAACCCAGATTACTCTCCCCTTTAAAATCGATATACAGATATATCGATTTACGTACTACTTACGGTTCACTTCCGAAACATCCGCTCGGCTGTCAGCGAGCAGCACTCGAGCGCTCGTCCGCTAAGGGACAACTTTATTTATGGCGATAGACATGGATTCTAGGACTTCGATTGTGTTTGGGTTTTTGTATTGATATCAGATGCAATTATGCGCATCTCCTGTGTTAGTGCAGCTAAATGGCAGCAGCTTCTTCCTGTCGGCTGGCTTGAATTATGCTGCCAACTGAAGCTGCATAATTGCATTGCCCAGCGGTGCCTTCGTGCTTGGTTATTGCTCTCCCCCGTTTCGACGGTGATTTATGTTGACTTCCGTTCGATTCGCAATCACGACTGTCTGAACCGCCCCGGCGTTCACTTTTCGCCGTGTTGAGATAATCAGTCAATATTGACAACTACTTATTGGCACTTCCGTTGCAGGCCCCGCAGCTGCCTCTCGGCCGCCACAGCCGCCGTTGCCAATGGCGACACGTGACCAGACGCTGGTCGTGTCGCCCCAGCGCCCAGCCTCCTCCCGGCCGGCCCAGCTGCAGCCCGGCCCCGGCACGTGGCGTGGGTAGCAGTTGCTATGCTTGCCCTTGCCTCGCTTGCAATTCAAATTTCATTCATAATTGCAATCGCGATTACGAGGGTTGCCACTGTGAGGGCTTTGAGCTTATCAACGTTCTCGCTTTCCGGCACGGGCTCAACTTATGCAACGGGAGCTCACGAGTGCGTGTGTGTGTGTGTGTTTTCCCCGGCTCTTCACTCCCTCTTTAAACATTTGCTCATTATGATTATAACATTTATTAGCGCTGCTGGTTTTAAACTTCAATATTTGCGCGTCAAATTACGCCGCTGGGAAAAGATCTTTGGCAATGGCCTCCACGGCGTCCGCGGCTCTGATAAGGCCCATAAAACGCCTCCCAGCGCGTGCTGGCTAGATATAACACCCCATTTTAGCATTTCCCCATTGCTACCCCCATTCCCATTCCCATTTCCATTTCTATTGCCCAGGCTCATTTTCGTAGCCCTTCCCAAAGTGCGGCTGCACTCAGCCGTGGTTGCCAGACGACCAACTCCATAAGCCCAATCAGCGGCTGGGATTAGACTCGGCTCCATGTTGAGCAGCAGCTGCTGCTACTGTTGCTATCTCTCGGCCCTTGAGCCCAGCTCTCTGGGTCAAAAGTTCGCCTAATTGGCCGCATTGCTAAGTTACATAGTCTGAAAAGAGCAAATCCCGCTTAACACCTCGCAAGTTCGCAGAAATTACAACTGTTTACATTTTATTTACAAATATGTTGCTAACTGGCAAAAAAATATAAATAATATATTAATTTATTATTTGGCTTGT